TTATATTATGGGTTGAATTCAGGACTTACAAACACATGCGTTAGTGTACAGATGTTTTCTCTTCTGCAATCTTTGCAGAAGCTTCCCACCTGCTGGGTTTAATTTATATGATGATTTAAAAAACAAAACAAAACAAAACAGCCCAGGTCTTTCATCAATGCACTACTCTGCACCAGCTTTCATGAAAAAGTGTAAAATATTTTCTCAGGCAAGATATTTCAGTCGCCCTACAATTTCTAACCTCTAGCTCTGGCTGTAAATTGGTAGTGCACATGCATATATCTCATTAAGCCAGGCAAAATTGTTAAACCCTGGTCAAATTACATAAAGAGATAGCTAGCATGTAGATTTTTGTTTTATTTTTTAGTTCGAATGAAAACATTCACAGGATAAAAGGGAAGGTGCTCTCATGGATTGGTAACTGGTTAAAAGATAGGAAACAAAGGGTAGGTATAAATCATCAGTTTTCAGAATGGAGAGGGGTAAATAGTGGCATCCCCCAGGGGTCTGTTCTGGGACCAGTCCTATTCAACATATTCATAAATGATCTGGAAAAAGGGGTAAACAGTGAGGTGGTAAAATTTTCATATGATACACAATTACTAAAGATAGTTAGTTAAGACCCAGGCAGACTGCGAAGAGCTATAAAGGGATCTCTCAAAACTGGGTGACTGGGCAACAAAATGGCAGATGAAATTTAATGTTGATAAATGCAAAGTAATGCACAATGGAAAGCATAATCCCAACTATACACATAAAATGATGGGGTCTAAAATAGCTGTTACCACTCAAGAAAGAGATCTTGGAGTCATTGTGGATAGTTCTCTGAAAACATCCACTCAGTGTGCAGCGACAGTCAAAAAAGCAAACAGAATGCTGGGAATAATTAAGAAAGGGATAGATAATCAGGGCCGGCTCTAACTTTTTTGCCGCCCCAAGCAGCAAAAAAAAGCGCCGCCCCGCCGTAACACCCCCCCTCCCCCAGCACCACCCCGCCCAACCCCCCCCACCAAGTGCCGCGCCGCCGAACCCCCTCGCCGAGTGCTGCGCCACCAAACAGCCCCCGGCCCCCGCCGTGCTGCTGAACACCCCCCGGCCCCCGCTGAGGGCCGCGCTGCTGAACCCCCCCATGCGGAGCACCGCCGAACACCCCCCGCCGAGCGCCGCGCTGCCGAACATCCCCACCCCCTGCGGAGCGCCGCACTGCCGAAGCCCCAACCCAGCGCGGAGCGCCGCCAAAACCCCCGTGGAGCACTGCACTGCTGAAGCCCTCCCTGTGCGGAGCGCCGCCGAAACCCCCGCAGAGCGCTGCGCTGCCAAACCCCCCCGCTGAGCGCCGCGCCGCCAGAACCCCCACTGCCGAGTGCCGCGCCACGCTGCCCCTCCGCCACCCCAAGATTGGCCGCCCCTTACCAGGTGCCGCCCCAAGCATGTGCTTGGTTGGCTGGTGCCTGGAGCTGGCCCTGTAGATAATAGGACAGAAAATATCATGTTGCCTCTATATAAATCCATGGTATGCCCACGTCTTGAATACTGTGTGCAGATGTGGTCGCCCCATCTCAAAAAAGATATACTGGAATTGGAAAAGGTTCAGAAAAGGGCAACAAAAATGATTAGGGGTATGGAACGGCTTCCGTATTAGGAGAGATTAATAAGACTTGGATTTTTCAGCTTTGAAAAGAGACGGCTAAGGCGAGATATGATTGAGGTCTATAAAATCATGACTGGTGTAGAGAAAGTAGATAAGGAAGTGTTGTTTACTACTTCTCATAACACAAGAACTAGGGGTCACCAAATGAAATTAATAGGCAGCAGGTTTAAAACAAATAAAAGGAAGTATTTCTTCACACAACGCACAGGTCCATCTGTGGAACTCCTTGCCAGAGGATGTTGTGAAGGCTGAGACCATTACAGGGTTCAAAAAAGAACTAGATAAATTCATGGAGGATAGGTCGATCAATGGTTATTAGCCAGGATGGGCAAGAATGGTGTCCCTAGCCTCTGTTTGCCAGAAGCTGGGAATGAGCAACAAGAGATGGATCACTTGAAGATTACCTGTTCTGTTCATTTCCTCTCAGGCACCTGGCACTGGCCACTGTCGGAAGACAGGATACTGGGCTAGATGGACCTTTGACTGGCCCAGTAGGGCCATTCTTATGTTCTTATGGTCATTATTCTTATTTGTGTGTTAAATTTTAAAATGCATAAAGAGCCTGTACCATGGAAGGTGCACATCACCTGCATCTCCAGTTATCTTAAAGGGAAGCTACTCATCATCAGCATTACTCACCATCATTAATAATTTTTGTTATTGTAGCACTTGGAAGTCCCAAACAAAATCAAGGCCCAGCTGTTCTAGATGTTGTTCAAACACATAATAAGAGATTGTAGGCTCTTTGAGGAGGATCTATCTAAATACACAAGACAAAAGGCATGAGAAGAACCCGAAGCACAAAGAGATGAATAGACTTGCTCCAGGACTCACACAGTAGGTCATTGGCATAGCTGCAATAGAACTCAGGTCTCTGCAGTCCCATTATAGGTCCTATACACTAAATACACTGCCTTTCTCATCATGTCTCAGAATCAGGCCCCTATTTAGTCAAGCCAAGGGCAGACCATTTATCTCTAGATATAAGCACATTCACCAAAAATCTCTGATATTCTAAGGGTTCTTATTTTAGACTTGAAACTTATTCATCAGTTTTATGCAGATTTAATACGACACCCTCAAGCTAGCTTCCAGAATAAATAGAAACATAAGAATGGCCATACTGGGTCAGATCAATGGTCCATCTAGCTCAGTATCTTGTCTTCTGACAGTGGCCCATGCCAGAGGCTTCAGAGGGAATGAACAGAACAGGGCAATTATGGGGTGATCCTTCCCCGGTCATCCACTCCCAGCTTCTGGAAGTCAAAGGTTTAGGGATAGCCAGAGTATGGGGTAGCATCCCTGACCATCTTGGCTAATAGCCATGGATGTACCTAACCTCTATGAACTCATCTAATTCTTTTTTTGAACCCAGTTATGCTTTTGGCATTCACAACATCCCCTGGCAACAAGTTCCACAGGTTGACTGCATTGTGAGAAGAAGTACTTTCTTATGTTTATTTTAAACAATGGTCTCAAGTTGCAATGGGTGAGGTCTAGGTTGGATATTAGGAAAAACTATTTCACTAGGAGGGTGGTGAAACATTGGAATGGGTTACCTAGGGAGATGGTGGAATCTCCTTCCTGAGAGGTTTTTAATGGCTTGACAAAGCCTTGGCTGGGATGATTTAGTGGGGTTGGTCCTGCTTTGAGCAGGGGGTTGGACTAGATGACCTCCTGAAGTCTTTGCCAACCCTAATCTTCTATGATTCTAAACCTAATGCATATTAATTTCATTGGGTGACCCCTGGTTCTTGTGTTATGTGAAGGAGGAAATAATAACACTTAATTATTCACTTTCTCCACACCATGATTTTACAGACCTCTATCATATCCCTCCTCAATCATCTCTTTTCTAAGCTGAACAGACCCAGTCTTTTTAACTCTCCTTGTATGAAAGTTGTTCTATACCCCTAATCATTTTTATTGCCCTTCTCTGTACTTTTTCCCAGTTCTAATATATCTTTTCTGAGATGGGGTGACCAGAACTGCACACGGTATTCAAGGTGTGAGCATACCATGGGTTTACATAGTCGTATTATTATGCTGTTTTCTGTCTTCTTATCTATTAGTGGTTCCTAACATTCTGTTAGCATTTTGACTGCCAGTGCACACTGAGCAGGTGTTTTCAGAGAACTATCCATGATGACTCCAAGATCTCTTCCTTGAGTGGTAACAACTAATTTAGAACCCATCATTTTGTATATATAATTGGGCTTATGTTTTCCAATGTGAATTACTTTGCATTTATCAACATTGAACTTCATCTGCCACTTTGTTGTAAAACCACCCAGTTTTGTGAAATCCCTTTGTAACTCTTTTCAATAAGCCTTGGACTTAACTATATTGAGTAATTTTGTATTATCTGCAAACTTTGCCACCTCCCTGTTTGCCCCTTTTCCCAGATCATTTATGAATATGTTGAACAGCACTGGTTCCAGTACAGATCTCTGGGGGGATCCTGCTGTTTACCTCTGTCCATTCTGAAAACTGACCAATTATTCCTACCCTTTGCTTCCTATCTTTTAACCAGTTACTTATCCCATGACTGCCTACTTTGCTTAAGAGCCTTTGGTGAGGGACATTCTCAAAGGCTTTCTGAAGGTCCAAGCATACTAGATCCACTGGATCACCCTCTCCACAGGTCAGTTGACATCCTCAAAGAATTTTGATAAATTGGTGAGGCATGATTTCCCTTTACAAAATCCGTGTTGACTTTTCCCCAACATATCATGCGCTTTTATGTATCTGATAATACTCTTCTTTACTATAGTTTCTACCAGTTTGCCTGGTACTGAAGTTATGCTTACCAGCCTGCATTGCCAGGATCATCTCTGGAGCTTTTTTTTAAGATAGGCATTACATTAGCCCTCCCTCCAGTCATCTGGGACACAGGTTCATTTAAGCGATCAGTTACATACCACAGTTAGTAGTTCTGCAATCTCATATTTGAGCTCCTTCAGAACTCTTGGGTGAATACCATTTGGTCCTCCTCATACTTTATCTTATTAGGAAAAGGAGATGCAAGAAAAACTCTCTGCAGAACACACTATAAAACAGATCCAGATGCCAGCCTCTGTTTAGGTACTTATAAGTCACATTGTACAGTGTTTTATTCAAATCCCAGTGCCAAATTGACTGTTTTGTGCATGGTGATTCTGGAAGTAATTTTCGCCATTAGTTTATGAAAAAATAACTAAAAAAATTGTATTGCAAATCTCAGGAGTTCCTCTAAAGTTGGTGACAGCTGATAAATTGAAATGAAGGGAAAACAACCAATGCAAATGAAAAGCAATTTGCATGAAAGAGAAACTAATAAACATGCCATTTTATTTTTAAAGCTACTTGCCTTGTAAACTGTAGATTTCTCCAACGCTGTTCTGTCGGGTAATGTGATGCCAGTATGCGCTGCGGGGAAGTGAGATTGACTTGGATAATGTCATTGGTTCACTCAGACTAGTCTGGAGCTAAAGGACAAAGCAAACATAAGTGGCAAATCATCCACGAGCCCATTTGACGTACACATTTCAGTGCTTTAAAACTGGAAAAGAGCCAACATTAGAATGTATATTTTACTGAATAATCACAGTTTGTATGTTATGATTTACTTTCTATGAAGAGCATCAATGCTGGAAATGGGTTGCTGGTATTCAGGAAAAAAATCATAGGTATTCCTAAATAATGGGGGTTACTAGGTCATTTTTTTCCTGCTTCTGCCCCTACTTTCCTACAGCTGTTGTTTGTGTGGTCGTGCTTGTAATGTTTTGGTCTAATGTCAGTTGTTGCGCTTAGTGTGCAGGTGGCTGGGTGGTGTTGGTGGCCTGTGATATATAGGATGTCAAACAGTATAATCTGGTGGTCCCTTCTGGCCTTAAACTCTACAAATTCTATGTGTTTGTCATTTTCCTTCCTAAGTATTATACCTAATGCAAAATACCACTTTTGTGTTTATTGGCTGAGCTATGATGTAAGTACCTTCTTTCGGAGGCAGTAGTTCAGGGAAAGACCTACAGTTGTTTTGTTAGTGAGTACCAATATACACTGCTGTGTAGTAGTCATTTTGATTCCCGATCTCTCTATTTGCAACTACTTTAGCAATTCCTTTCTTGGGGACTGTAATCAAAACTGGTCAAATTTACTGTAGCTAATCCTCCCCGATATCTAATTTATTTCCCTTGAAGATCATTGTAACTTAAAGCATCCAGTCAAAAACTTGAGAATTTAAAGTTAATAAAAGATTACAAAGTCTTACCTGGAAATTAACATAGCAGTAAATGATCTGACAATTACTCTTTGTTTGTACAGTGCCTAGCACAAGGAGGCCCAGATCCTGACTAGGGCAGCAAGGCACTACTGTAGCATAAATGATAAATAATAACAACAAAAGTCTTAAAAATGCAGCCTACTATGCAATAGGAAATTTGTTACCCACCCATATAGAAACAAAATTCTAGTCTGAAATCAACATGCCAAATTCGTTATTGATTCATGCCAAGTGTTACCCAATTCCAATCAATGGAATTAGCTTTGAATCTGGTCCATTTTCCCAGAGATGCACCCAGGGATTTAACTAAAAGTGGCTTTCTAAAGACACACAGAGGTACGTAATGGACAAGTTGAGCCACAGATCAGATAAATGTTACACAAGTTCATTGAAACCTTAAGATAAAAAAATGCCCCTAAAACAAAAAAGGCAAGAACCACTATTGTACACAAAAGCACAGTTCTGAGAGCAACAGCGGGGCATCTTTTTCTCAGGATCTGTAATTTAATAAGTAAAACATCTTCTGATATTAAGCATTAGGTAGGAAGATGTGTCACCATTATTCATATTACTATAGTATGAACTGAGCTAGATATCTTTTCAGATGGTTAATACCAAAAAGAGAATGCAATTCATATTTTATGGACATATCACCCTCAGGGAAAGAGCACTTTAAAACACATCACCAGTTTTTCATTTAAGGCCTATGCCTAAAATATAAACATGGATCTTTAATTGGTGACAGTAATGCCAATTAATAGCATTAATGAGTCCATAAAGCTAATCTCACTAATTGGCATGTTCTCATTAACCACAATCCTGACTTCCCCTTATCTTTTATTTTAAACAGAACTTTCTGGCCTAATAGAAGAGTTAGTCAACGATAAAGTGGGATATTTTTAGACACTAATTTTTACACATTATTGCAATGTTAAAAAAAAAAAACTGGGAGAAGCTATTAACTGATAGATACATGGTTACTTTAGAGAAACTTGCTATGTACCAGATTAGGAGTATCTGCAATGGAACAATTTGGAACTAGTTTGAGAGGGAAAAAAGCTATACCTGTATATATTATTTTTGTATTTATATATAATCATTCATATATGAATCTTCATAACACAATATAATGTTTAAGGAGGACCCAGGAGTCAAATTTATCAGGAGAGAAGGTACAGCACTGCTAATTAATGGTACAAACACACACCTCAGAATGAGATTGCTCAGGCTTCTGGAACAGTCCATACTGGCACGATCAGAGGCTTAACATAGTCACTCCAACACTAGTGAATGCATAACTATCTTTCATCATGTAACTCTCTTTCCACAGACTCTTCCAATCTTCCAGAACCATTTTGCTTTGAGTGTCATACAATACCATACAATCTGTCCTTTAAATTACATTATAAAAAATGAAAAAAATAAACAGTTTAACAGTCAATATTTTCAGTTAACTTATTATTAGCAAATCTCCTGTGCTTCTTATTCCCTTCATCTGTAATTGCTGAGTATGCCCATCTTGTGCAAAATAAAAAATAAAATACATTCTTGTGTTAGATTTCTGAATAGAACTGCATTCAGAACAAATAAACAAGGTAGAATGACCTAATAATGTCAGGGGAAAAGCAATACAGTTACACACACACTGGGAAGTTAATATCAAAATATGCCCAAATTTTCTGTCTGGATAACTGGATGTGTGTGAATAAAAAACAGAAATTAGGGCTTACAAATAGGACAGAGAATTGGACAGCAGCTTTATGTGGAAAGACAGACAAATAACCTGCTTTTCTCTTCTCCTTCGTTCCTTCTTCCTCTAAGCACTGATCCCTTCAAATTCTTTAATTGATGTGATCAATCCCTATACCCCTACATTGACATAGTTACACTAGAGCAATATTTTCACTAGTGCAATTTTTTTTATGTACCCAAGGTCTAAGTTTCCTTTAAGAATATTTTACCTGTCTAGTATCTACTAAGCCCTATTTACTACCTACAGGTGTAAATCAACACTTTTGAATATGTACCCCCTCTAATGGGTTGCTGCAGGTGCCCTGTTTCCAGCAACAGTATAATGGACTTGATTCTCCTCTTGCTTTCAACAACATAGTACCATTGACTTTCCATCTTTGGCAGACAGGCAGAATCAGGTCTACTGTTTTCAGTGATGTTAAAGCCTACAAGGTCCAAAACGGCAGAAACAGTATAGATGCATTTAAAGCATTTGCTCTGAGAAATAAACTAGCCTTAATATTAAACAACTAGTTATATGCTCCTATTAAAGGAAGATATGACCAGTAACAGAAGCAATGGGATAATCACAACAGTATTTTGTTTCCATTTAATAGCCCTAAAAGTGAAGAATATCATGAATGATTTTGCTATAAAGATTTTTCAGATTCACTGAGATGTTGAGGACTGCAAGTACATAGTCAAGACCTTCTTGCCACATGATCTGAGGAAAGAAATGCTTATTGTGATTAGAGGCTAGAGGCAAGAGAGTAGAAATGAGAAGCATAAATACATAAATCTAAATCAGAATGACCTATATTTCTTAGATTTAAAGCAACAAAAACATCACTGACACATTTGAAAGACTTTTCTTAAACTGGCATGGAGCAGTCCATTGGCCTTGTTTTCTCCAGATACTTGACACGTCCCTCGATCTTGGACCTCTGGGATTGTGGACACAGTCCTTAATTCTTGGTTATCCATAATGAATAAATCTAAAGTAACATCAACTCCATCTTCCAGTGACTTCTTTACAATTTCCAAGGGACTGTGATGGATGGAAATGAAAACTCTTTTCATTGTAAGCCATCTTCAAAAATGTTAATAGTGTATCTTTATGAAATAAGGCATAAGGGATAGATTTACCAATGATGCCCATGGGAAAGCTCTATTGACTTCAGTGATGTTACTCCCTCTGATGCCAGCATTGAATTTGGTTCTAAGAATGTAACCTGTTAAACATGTTATAACTCTGAGCTTTGATGTACAGCATGTGATTATCTCATTTTCCTCTGACTTTTCTAAAAAAAAAGTAAAAAAAAGTTAAAGCTTTGAAGGCACTAGAGCATAAAGGCTTTTCTTTATTCAAGAGCATGTAAACATGAGCAGCAGCATTAAGCAGAGTATCCCATCCTTTCAGTTTTGGGGGTTGCTCCAAAGTTGGCCAACAAAACAGTTTCTTGTGTGTTTTGGACATTGGTCCACAAAGAGTTGGACTGAGGCCACTGATTGATCTCACATTCTCACCAGACCTGCTCTGGTTAATCAAGTGTCACCAGAGACCAGTTCATAGAGGATTCAAGCCCCCCGGCCCCGCAAATACAAAAAAAACCCCTTCACTGAACTGAAAAATCTAATCTTGTAAATATATATTAAAAGTAGCTAGTGATAGTCTTAGAGCACATTTCCACTCTTTTTTTTTTTTTTTTAACTGGAACAAGAAGTTTAGAGAGAACATTATCTCTTGACTCTAGCAAGAAGAAAAGAGTGATTCCAAAATGGATTAATACTGAGTGAACAGGACACCAAAGCATTACAACATTTGTCAAATTAATCTTACCAATGGAGATGTGTGAGGTCAAATTGCAATTTTAACTCAGATAGACAGAGGAGGTTTTCAACAGGCCCAGCAGCAGAAACATAGTATATTCCCCCCTCCTGCCCACACCTTGTTAAAGCCTATATAGAGTTCCCTCTTTCTAGCCCTAAGGGTGCTTCTGTTCCATGAAGAATTTGGAGGGGAAGGAAGAGGTGGTAGAATTCTTTACTTGTATAATGTCTGTAACCTGGTGGTGGCAGCAAAGCCCAGATTAACTTCACTGGCATGCACAATATATTATAACAACAACAATAAAGTACTCCCAGATAAATGAGAGATCACTTCTAGCATAATCCCATTATAGCATGCTATAAATACACTCTTCTAATTCACATACCAAAGGAATTTTAAGATGACACATAAAAATAGTGTAGTGCTACTATGGGGGTCAGAAAGACTATAAAACTGGACTGCCCTGAAACCAGAACAATTCATTCTAAACCAGGGCTTGTGGATCACACAATATCTTTGAGGAAGCAGGAGATGAGTAATAAAATAGACCATAACATTTATCAACATGAATGTAAGCAATAGTCAAGATTTTATTTAGATAATGAGCATTTCATTTTTTTAAAATGTTGTAATTTTGTGAA